TGTCTTAGGACCTTATGATGTAAAAGTTAGGATGAAAGCTGTTGGTATCTGCGGAAGTGATGTTCACTTTCTCAAGGTATATATACCATCCTTTTACTAGCTGTTGTTTTTTTTAATACGTCTAATGATACACAACGGGGATACCTGTCTCAAGTTTTGAACATAAGGACTCTAAATTGGGGTCTCAAGTTCTTGCCAGTTGAGAAACGTCTAGCTTTTCTTAACTTAGCTTCTTTTCCATTGTTTATCCTTGTTTAGTTGGAATTCAAACTTCAGAACAAAATTTATTGGGGGTTGAAAGAAATTAAGACTTAAGAAGAGATGTTTCTATTTATGGGTTATTTCACTAGTAACTTGCATATATTTTAGACATTGAGATTGGCAGATTTCATAGTGAAAGAGCCTATTGTGATTGGGCATGAATGTGCTGGGATCATAGAGGAGGTTGGCAGTGAGGTGAAGAATCTAGTTTCTGGTGATCGCGTGGCCTTGGAACCAGGGATCAGTTGTTGGCGATGTGATCGCTGCAGGGAAGGTCGATACAATTTGTGCCCAGATGTGAAGTTCTTTGCCACTCCCCCAGTCAATGGTGCTCTTGCCAATCAGGTAAAAAGATTTATTTTGTTTAAATCTGAAGTCCATTTAGACACATACTGCAGTTTTAGTTTAACGTTGTCTGTCCCTTTCACAATCTAAACTGCATTATGGCTACTCAATCCAACCTAGCAATTATGGAATGGATAGTAAAGGGGCCACAGTTTAAGATGATTTTTGAATGCAGGTGGTGCATCCTGCAGATTTGTGCTTCAAACTGCCAGAAAATATGAGCTTGGAGGAAGGGGCTATGTGTGAACCGTTAAGTGTTGCTGTGCATGCTTGTCGCAGAGCCAATATTGGTCCGGAAACAAACGTGTTGATCATGGGAGCAGGACCAATAGGGCTTGTCACAGTGCTGGCAGCCCGTGCTTTTGGGGCACCTAAAATTGGCATTGTTGATGTGAATGACCACCGTTTATCTGTTGCTAAGGATATTGGTGCGGATGAAACTGTTAAAGTTTCTACTAACATGCAGGTTTGCCATGTTCCTGAATGCTTCACACAACAAGCGTCAATGTCTCCACCTTAACACAGTTTCCATCCACTTAATTTACAGGATATACCTGAGGAAGTAACAAAGATACAGAAGGCGATGGTGGTTGGAATAGATGTAAGCTTTGATTGTGCAGGAGTTGACAAAACCATGTCAACAGCTTTGAATGCCACCCGTCCCGGCGGCAAAGTTATCCTTGTGGGGATGGGACATCCTCGGATGACTGTTCCCCTCACTCCTGCTGCTGCAAGGTGAATTATCTGATGCTATTCTAGGATCCTTCATGTCGGGACAACGTAGTCATTGGCTTGTGAAAATCTGATGTTCTGCTCTTTCCCAGAATGACATTGAGTTATATGGTATTTGTCAAAATGCAGGGAGGTGGATGTGCTGGGAGTCCAGCGTTACAAAAACACTTGGCCAATTTGCCTGGAGTTCATAAGCAGTGGGAAGATTGACGTGAAGCCTCTCATAACCCACAGGTTCGGGTTCTCGCAGAAGGAGGTGGAAGAAGCCTTTGAAACAAGTGCCCTTGGTGGCACTGCTATTAAGGTCATGTTTAACCTCTGAATCTGTTCTGTTGTGGTGCTGAAGCAAACCGCCTCTATGATAGCTTTAAGCAATTTACGCAGACACACTGGTGTACGCTCCCCTATTTAGTAAATGTCCAAAATGGCCTGCACCCTATCTATAGGAATGCATGAGCGAAGTATGTGCATTTAAGCTTAGTAAAAGAAATAAAACAGGGGCCATTTTTACTGAATCTTATAGGCTTTCATTAGAAAAAGAAGTTCGAATTGTTACATAAAAACACTCATCAGTGCACAAAGAACATAGAACAGCAGACCTACATGTGTATGGTAAGAAAAATCAGGCTACAAGACTGTTGATCATCCAAGAGACCATCGCAAACTGGAACTCAATCCAATGGAATTTGAATTGTCATAAAAATTTCATGATGGCATTATTGGTTTCTTTATATGAGCTTCCATCTATGGCACATGGTAAGGTGACATCGGAGCTTTGGTGCAGCTTAAAACACGTGCAGCTTAAAACTCAGGGATTTGTCAAGAACCAAAAAGAGGATGGAAAAGGAAACAAGTTACTCAGCGAACAGACAGTATTGACGCCTATATTGTAAAATTTTGCTTTGAATCATGATGCAGTAGCTGGTTCTGCTGACCACTTCCATACTCTGACCTGTCCTGTACCGTCACCGGTGAAAAACAAGCCACCAGGTCCTGCTTCAATGGCACGAATCTCTTGTTTGGCAAAAATTTTACCCCTCTCAGAAAACCTTTAACCATAATAAAAAGGAAGAAAGAGTCAGAATACTGTAAGGCATGGATCTTAAAAGAATACAGATTAGGTGAGAAGACATGGAACTCACGATGGCAAATCATATAGCCGGACAGAATTGTCATTACAGGAACACAGCAGGACTGGTTTGCCTTCAAAGTCAGGAGTTCCACATAGGGTAAGCAGGCCCTACAGAAATCACCCCAACATCATTAAACTGTTAATATTCAAGAAATCAGAGGAATCTGGAGACAAGCATCATCGCATGAAGGAGCAGGAGCCATAAAAAATTTAAAACCTCTGTCATGAATGATCTTCAATTCATCTAACAAAACCAAAAAATGAAAATCAACACGTATTCTTACACCCAGAATATGTAATAAGGGGCATCTCCTTTAATATTCTTTTCATAATGACACATCAACAAAAACGTAGAACACCCAGACATTGTGATGATCACTTCCCTTCCCCACTGGTTAGAATGATATGGAGTTGAAATGCACACTCTTCCTATATTATATTATGATAAGATACATTTCATTGATAGTAGAGCAACTTTTGGACTAAAGCACCAAAATTCTAAAAATTTGACAAATGCAAAATAAATTACCAGGCATTTTAACCCAGTCCTTTTAGATTTTGAAATAATGTGGCACCTTTCAAGAAAAGAAGGATATCAAACATATCCTTGTTATTGCCAGGTTTACCACTTCTTATTGGAAAAGCAATTCCATTCCTCTTAGGACAATATGAAACTAAAGGCAGTAATCTTCTAGGTCCCAATAATCCATGAATTGCTTTCCAGGTGAACTTGAAGTTATATACCTTTTCGTTTGTTCATAAAAATAGATAAATAAATAAATCCTTTCATTTGGATAATCTATCAAGAACAAGCATGTCTATCAATAAATATTCAACATAGCTGAGAAACTGGTACTTTTTCTAGCCGTGATGCCATATGCAATCCATTGGAGATATCCAAATGAGTGAATATCCATAGTGTAAGTAGAGAACTTTTAAGTTTGCAACAGACCGGACTGAATAAACAGAAATTGTCCACAATTTTGGAACCCTGATGAAAGGGAACAATTTGAAATCTTCCCTTCAGATCTATGATCAATCAAGAAATATCAGAACTCTTTTACTAATAATCCCTTAAACATGATTTAGCAGGCAAAACAATTAAATCCCAACTTCAAAGCCGAAGAAATGAAAAAAATGTTTCTCAGAATATCTTTGGAATCCCTTGTAAGTAATCCAGACTTGCACATACCCTGATTCGACCTCTTAACCTTTTTTGGTTAAATAATCAAAATCCTAATTTGCTAATTTTGCAACTAAATCCTACATAAACCATACAACATGTTTATTACTTGAGTTGCATGACTGATAGATTAAAGAATAAAAGTATAAAACCCTTTGATTAGGAAGCATAGTCTGGCTAATCTATCTTCTAAGTTAACATGAGTCAATATTAGTTAGCCTTAGTTAGGCCAGCAAAACCATATTGATAAAATCTCCCAAAATTCCAGAACCCCACTCCTTTTCCTCTTGCAAGTTACTCAAAAATGGAAGTTCTTTCATACTCACTCCCTCCTGTTTATTTATTTATTATTATTATTTTTTTATATAACATGGTATCAGTCCTTGATCCAGTACTTGCAAAGCACCCTGTCCACAGGATGGAGCATATATTTTATACAAATGTTAATTATCATGGGTAGAAAGGGAAAGTCAATTATAAAAAGTTATTTTTTAACAAGTCCTTGATATGCGTGATCTTAGTTATAGTGAAGGATAGATAGGAATGGAGGGAGTCCTACAAAACCACATGTAACTTGGTCCCCATCTACCTTTAAAAGGGATTATAGTCTTGTCCTACATGGCTTAAAGGCTAAAGCTTCTAATTTCAAAATTTACAGGAAATGCTAATTAGCAATCTCTAGAACCACATTCCTTGCAGTAAACCACATGGCAAACACATAATGACCATGCTGACTAAGCCCATCTATAACTAGAGAAACTACATTAGGACTTAAATTGATACTTTGCTAAACCTATTAAAATTAGAAAGCTGAAAATATTATTCCTTTAAGTTCTCATGCTAGTAGCTACTAGCTGATGGATATAGTATGACCCAACTTAAATTAACTAAAGATTAAGCTCAGACAATGTATTTCATTTAGAAAAACGTACATGTTCTTCATTGTGAGTGTAAGTTACTTCCAAATATCCACTTTCTGTAGCCACCCACACCTGCAAAGAAAAAAAAAAACAGAAAAAAAAAAAAGAAGATAAATTGAAACGACTTCAACTATGGTGGCTGATTTAAAAGAAAAGGATTGAGATACAACATAGATAAATTTGGTGTTAACCTTTATAGTTTGGTCCAATGAACATGACAAAAGAAATTGCTCCCAGCAAAGAAGGGACATGACAACTGAAGTATGCTCTGTCAGTGTCTGTAAACACTGCAAAGTTTCAAGGCTCCAAACCTTGAAGAAAATCAGATTGAAATAGCATATTAGTAATAACAATAAAAATTTTGCAAATTAAAAAGAAAAAAGAAATGCTACTATTGTGGTGCTTTTAGAAACACAAAGAAAAAAGGTTCTCAAAATTGAAAACATTAAAAGATTATATATTTAACTAAAATCAGCTTACCCTTATAGAATTATCCATGGAACCAGAGTATAGCCTATTACCCCCAACAACTAATGAAACAACTGCAAGGGTGTGGCCTTTAAGAGATGCAGCTGGTTCAAAGGAGTTGGTGGCAACATTAAATTTCCATGCTAAAATAGTCCCATCCTGCATCAACAGATATTGTTGCATAAGATCAGGTCTATATATAGTATCAAAAGGAGAGAGAGAAGATTCAACCATGCATGGGAACTTACTACATGAATGTCTATAGCTCAGCTTATTGAATGCATAATTTTAACAAAAGAAATAACATTTGACATAATCCTTCTAGCATGTGAGGATCTTCAAAAGCATTAAATATAATATATATATAAAACCTGAGATGACCCACTTTAGCAGTCTTATGTGTCACAACTCACCAGAGAAAATGTAATGATAAAACAGTGTAACTTTTTTTTTTTTAACAAACAGTTGGATTAAATATGCAGGCCAAACATTAAAACAACACTGCATTACTGCTTAAAAGATTACCTGTGTCCCAGCAATGAGCAATTCATTACCAACAACCAAAGCATATACTTGTCCAACAGGTCCACTAAGGCTCAGATCAGCATTTGTCTGAGTATTCCATGCCTGGAAAAACAATGTTGCAGGGCTCAATGATGAAGAACACATGAAAAAATAAGCAAAAGATGCAAATCCTGAAACCAACCTTACCTTGACAAAATTTGGTATGCCAAAAAACAACCAAGGGCCTTCACTGATAATGCAACCAACCTCACCGCCAAGATTAACTACAGCCATACACTACCAACAAGAAAGAACAATAATAGTCCATCAGAGAAAATAATTTTGCTCAATCTCTAGCTGTTGGAAAAGAACTATATAAATGAAATGGGTATTACCAGAATAATCATTAATCAACAAGAAAAGACATCTAGGTCTTCTATAATTCTAAGAGTAATGGTTTCTAAATGATATTTGAAACTGAAAACTGGTGGACACAAATACATGCTGCATTTTCTATTTAAAAGTACCTCTAGTATTGTCTTCCAAATATGCATGCTGGTAGTGAGCCCAGCAGTTCCTTCAGCATACAGTGATGCCATATAAACTTAGCAATGCATGATTACTCTGAGGAAACTTTTTCACTTTCATTTCAATGTATTGAAAACTACATGCTTAACCAGATTTAATTGACTTTAAAATGACATGATGCAAACAAAAATTTTCTCCCTCCCAGTACAAATTATTAATCTCAAAATTAAATCCAAGAATAACAGGATTTAAGAAGATTTTCCTTTCTTCCTGCCCGTGTTTGGGCTGAAGAAAAGATAATCAAAGAAATAATCACCTGGCCAGATGCGCAATCCCAAATCCTCACGGTCTCATCATTACTCCCTGTATAAAGTTTATCAGACCCTGATGGTAGGGCAATTCCACTAACAACCTTGCCACAGATAAATCCAGCATCGTCAAATTGGCAAATTTCGACAAATTAACACCAAATATAGACCAACAAAACAAGAAACCCACTTACTTTCTGGTGCCCCTCGAGCTGGGTCAACAATGAAAATCCCTCCCCTAAACTCCAAGAATGTAAAAATCTACACTTATCCCCATAATTACAGCTCCCTTGCATCCAAAAATTACACACTTTCTCCGTCTTTCGAACCACCTTGTTAGCCCCCACTCTCCCCCAACTATTATTATGAGCATTAAAGTTCGGACCCCGTCGAGCTGCTGGCCCCGAAAACCCCCGGTCATCTGCAAACCGCTTCCCGCCCCCTGATCCGTTGGCGGTGGCAGCGGTCGGAGCAGGTAGTTCGCGGTGTAAGAACGGGCAGGGGAATCGCGTACACTTGCCAGATTTCCAATAAGTACATACTTTCTGATGTTTGCCTGCGTCGGTTGCTGTTGCTGCTGCTGCCCCTGAAGGGCCCCCAAGTCGATTGAAAACCCGCTTGTTCCCTCCGTCTAAATCCATGGGCTTAATAGAAAGATGGAATCTTGAAGCGAACCCAAGAACTTCACTCCCTTCCCTGAACTGAAACCAGAAATCTTTCCGCAAAGGATTCCGATCATGTAGGAGATCACAGAAACCCTAACTTGGGTTCTCCCTCTTCCGCTCTTCGTCGATGAAATCCGTCACTGCTATCCTTCCTGAATCCAATGGAAGGTTCTACGTATGACGTAATAGTAATGGAAGCTTCGATTGGGTTTCAGCGCGTTCTGATTCGGGAGTTTCTTCTTGTGTGGGTGTGCGGAGAGGAAGTAGATGAAGCTGGAGAAAAGTTGAGAAATGCTTTACCTTTACGATGGCATAAAATTACGGGATTGCCCTCGTAAATTTGGGGATGGAGGTTGCTTACTCAGGTTGTACTTTTTATGTAGACACGTGAGCGACACTGAGGACAGGCTCCTTTGGTGGTTGTACCCTGAAAATCCATTTTTGGGTACAAAATGTTAAGAGTGCAAAATATATAATTTTTTTTATTAATTTCGTATTTAAAAATTATATAGAATTTTAATTAATTTAAAATGAAATTATATCAAATTATAAAATAAGAGTTTTTCCTATTTATAAAATTTAGATTTGAGATTTTGATTAAGAGAAATCAAAATTTTTCATTTAAATCAATAAATTATTAACACAAAATAACAAACCATTGTATGATAAGCATTTAATATTAAAAGATTTATTGTTTTATTGATAATTAAGTAAAGTATAATTTGTGCATATGGTAGATGCAACTCATTTGTTTTTTTTTTAGTCTTGAGTGTTTGGTTTTTCGGTTCTGTGTTATTTTTGAGAGCTTGGTAGGGTTTGGTTTTTTTGGTTCAAAATTGAAATAACTAAAATTTTTAACCAAATTAAAATTTAGGTTTAGTGGCAGTTTGACCCTAAAATCATAGAAACCGAAAAGAGTCATCAATTTAACTGGATTAATTAAAAAAAAATTCATTTTAACAACCTAAAAAAAAAAAAACAAACTGAATTAAATTTTTTCAGTACAAAAATAAGAACTTAATTTGTAACTTTTATAAAATTCAGACATTTCAGTTAAATTCAAGCCGAATCAAATTTTCAAACTTATAATTTGGTTCGAAGTTTGGTTATGTAAATACCAACCAAAAAAATTGGTCAATGGAAAAAATTCCAGTTTGGTGACCAAACTGAACTGGCACCAAACCAGTCCTAACGTTTGGATTCTCCCTTAAAAAGCACGTTATGAATTTTATCTTTATCATAGGAGTATATTGTGATTAGTAAACGCAGGACAACAATAATAGTTCTAATTTAATTTTTTTACATTTAAGACAAAAAATTTAAGTGAAAATTTAAATTAACAAATGAATATCAATTGGGGATTTTCTTTGTCCTATATATAGTTCTTGTTTAATAATTTTACTTATAAAAAAAAATTCAATTGTCATTTAAAGTTATTCACTTAAATGCTATTTTTCTACCCGAACCTGAGCCTGAGCAGTGAGTAGCAACATGGCACCCCTCTTTGAGGAAGATTAGTGCACATATGGGACTAAAGGGAGGGCATAGAACATGAAAAGTTCCATCAAATTATGCCTAAGATCAGCAAAAAAAATGATGTTCGTGAGGTGCGCATGTATCAAGAATAGACAAATCGACCATTTAAGAAAAAAGACACAGCATGGTATGATCAATAATTGTGCAAGATCTATAAAGGAAACAAATTCTTGAGAATGAGGAAATATCAAGCAAAGTATTCCCTCCAAAATGAATCTATAATTGACAGCACAGTATGATCAATATTTGGCATGATCATAAAGAAACAAATTCCCGAAAGTAGGAAACATCAAGCAAAGTACTCTCTCCAAATGAATCCATAAATCTACTGAATCCATAAATCTGCAGAGTTAATGTAGTATAAAACGGCTATTTGAAACCAAAATCATGAAGTCATGAGTTGTTACAATAACTTTGGTTTTCTACATAGTTTGTATCATCCATGCAGGCTTTACCCATGTTTTACTTTAAGTACAGATGTAAAAAATGGAGTAAAGTTATTCTGCACACAACACAAGATGGCAACTTCATTGACTAACATGACAATTTATCAAATTTAGCAGACAGACTAGCAAAAGCAAACGAATCTACGATTGAGTAAACATGCCTCTATTATAGAAATATTTATCTCAGTCAATAGCTAACTTACCTTAAAAAAGCACTAACCAATGCCGAGAGAACCAAGCAACCACATTGACATCCCACATGTGAAGAACTAGAGAGTCAAGAATGGCAAGGATGGGAAAACAGAGTAATGGGAAGAATATAGATAAAAGCAAAGAATAAGGCAATATGTACATATCCAAAGTATCTATTATCTGAGGTCTGAGGGATGAAAAAGTTTTACAAACTAAATACCAAAGCTTGTCTGGCATATGTCAAGACAATTGGCAATATATAATCAACTAGCAAGCTTAAAGGCATCAATGAAGAGTCCATAAGTGAACCCCATCTTGAAGTTGTTGAGAAGAGCAACCGGGAAGGTTACCTTTGGCCGGCTGTAATAAAACCTGGTCACATACTCTGTCAGGAGAACACATAACACTGCAGCAATCACATCATTGACTCCCAATGCCCCAAATGACAAAGAGATTGTTTGTGCTACATAAAAGCCACCCAACAATGAGATGCCACCAAAAAGTGCCCTTCGGGAAGGGCTTCTAAAGTAATTCCTTGAGATATCTGGCACAAGCCTGATAATGTCAACCAGTCTTCTAGGACCTCCATTCTCTTGCACAGCCCTGACAGAAAAAAACCCCGGGGAGGATCGCAAAAGACATGTTCCATACCTTCCACATGGAACTCTGGTCTGAGGATTAAAACCAACTTTAGGGAGGCTTGCAGAAATCAAAATCATAGACTGTGCCATTTATGATTTCCTGATCAAAAGGATAAATAAGAATTCCTCCCCTGGGAAGAGCAATGGGAAAAAAGAAAAAAAAAAAGAACCATTAGAAAAGAGAAAATGCTAGTTAGAAAGAAAAAAAAAAAGGTTTTGCAAACTATGAACTCAAGTATTCAAATCAATTATCAGGAATGACTTTGCATAACAATTATTCAAGATACATAAGCATAGACTAAGGCTGAAAATTCAATCTAAGTAACCCAAGAACCTACCAGACTGGGTACATTTGATTCAATTCTCTCAGTAGCTAATTCTTATTTCCGTCTTGAATTCACATAATCTCTTTGTGATTCAATTACTGCTTAAAATTACCATAATTGAACTGGTTAAAATGACATTTAAAACTCAGATATCTGCATCACGCTTCCTCCCAGTTTGAACCTAACAACTCTACAACTCTTATCCTTTTCTTCAATTTCTATTTATCTTATTTTCCCTTAACAGCAATTGCTCTCAACTCAACACAAGTCAGAATCTACCAATCACAAAATGAAACTCCTTTCTCATCATTTTCTAGCTTCTAAACAGAAAACAAGAAGAACAAAATCTACCCATCATTTTTTTTAAAAGATAAATATACCCTTAATTGAAAAAAAAAAAATGGAACGACAAAAACAGCACAAGTTTTACACAAACAAATTTGCACGCAGCTAAAATGAAAAGATGAGAATAATCCAATTCAAGACAAAGTCAGATCCATACACCCATGTTAAAGGTAAAAAACTCCAGTCTGCCTTCTATCCACTAAGAAAATCACAAATACATTAATCCAACAACCCAAGGCTTGAAGCAATTAGATGCCAAGAAGTTAGTGAACCAAAAGTGCTGAACCCGCAAGATTAACTAGCCAACAATCCTCTCATATCTACAGAGTACAATGCTACCATATGAATTTCCAGAATCCAAAGCCTTCATGGAGAAATGAATGTTATACCATGAATGAAGCTAATATTAACCAATTTACCTATGGATTCAAACAACCCAAAACATTAATTAGGTCCATCATCGCATGGATAACTTCCCCAGAGAGAGCAATTGATCGAGTCTGGAGCGGAGGACTGCGGGAGCTCTTCAGCTGTTAAGAGATGCGGTGACGGTGGTTGGATTAGACGTGGAGGTTAGAACTTGAAGAAGCCCATTTTCGTGGTGAATATGAATTGGTAAATATTACCATTTTAGTCCTCACCTTTTAAAATCACTTACAAAGTCATCCTTAACGTCTGACTAATAATTAGTCTATTGACTATTTACCTTTTATCAACTTAGTCTATAAAGTTCGTTTTCTCTCAAAATGGTCTAATATCTCTCAAAAAATCATATCTATGTGGTCTACTTATCCATCATCATTTTTAGTCAATTTAACTAATAAAATTTTAAAAATAACAAAAATGCATGGTGCTTACATGGCATCACATAATTTACATGTATGTGAACAAAAAGGACAACTCTCAAATCTAATATTAACACTAAATATTAATAAAATAAAAAAAGTTATGGGTAGACTATATTTTTATATTTTTTAAGTTATTAAATCATTTTTAGAGAATATAAATTTTCTTCTAATCTAAATTGATAAAAAAGGTTAATAAATAATAGATGAATTATCAAAATTAGCCCTTAACATACTTGGTTTGTTTGGATGTTGGCTGGAGTAAGCGGAGGAAAAGTAATGCAAAGGAAAGAAATCAACTATTATTAGTAGTTTGTTTTAGATAAATTTTATAAAGGAAAAGAAAGAGATGATTAAAAGAAAAGAAAGGAAAAGTAAGTAACGGGAGGCTAATGAGACATATTTGATTTCTTAATTTAGCAGAAGAGAGTGATTTCCTTTGTCTTTATCTACTTTTTTTCGTGTGACAATCATGTAATATTTTAAGTTAGCTTGCAATGTCAATTTATGTTTATCTTTCTATTTTAATTAAACACATTATATGTTAACAATTTAAGTAGTTTAGTGATATATAATTTCTTTTTTAAATGGAGGAAAAGATCTAGATTTAAGTCCTAACTATGCATATGAAAATAAGTAAAGAAATGAGATATTATTATTTTTTATTGTGTAACTTAAAATAAAAAATAAAAAAAACCACATATCTTCCACACTATAATTAAGAAATTCATGAGAATATCTCATTGCATCTTTATATTGGTTTGTATACTTAATTACTTCCCTCAAAATGAAGTTTTTTGCTTGTACAAGTCAAGGCATCATTTTGTTCTATAAACAGGCAAGTCCACTTTTAAACCACAATTTCTCGAATTAGAAAAAATAACTAAAGGTTAAATTAATGATCAAGTTCCCAAATTTACAAGGTAATAGAAAAATTTGAGCCCCAAGGTAGTACTATTTCTAAAAACATTTGAAAAGTGTGGAACTATATTGCAATTAACTACTTTTGCAATGCCTCTTTAAGTAAAGGATGGAATGGAAGTTGACTGTTTTTGGCGATTTCTTACAACTAAAAACATAAATTTTTACAATTTTTTTTAATTAAGAATATAATTTTTTCTTATAAATTAAAATTATCATTTTTAAAACTCCTTTTTTATATTACCACTTTACAGTTTTATTAATTAAAAATATAACATTTACTATTTTACTAAATAAGTATTATAAGTTATGGATATCCTTTGTTATTTTTTTAAGACATGTTAGCGTGCACATCTATAAATTGTTTTTTTAATAAAATTAAAAAAATTTATATTCTTAATTAAAAACTTTTAAAAGAGGGTAATCTTGATTAGTAAATAAATAATGCCACATCTTTAATTAGAGAAGTTTTGAAAAGGCCAAATTCCTTTATATCTTGTACATTATTTTTTTTTTCTACGGTTGACACTATTCATAATTTTTATCCTTGATCAATATTTTCTATAATTTAAAACTCATAAAAAATTTTAAATTACCAACAAAATCAAATAAAAAAAGTGGGTTTAATTATTAATTTCTGAGTTTTTTTTTTTATAGATTTTAAATTATAAAGATGTTGATGCAAAATAAAAATTCTTAAGGATATTAATACTAAGAAAAAATAATATGTATAGTGTAGGTAGGGTTTTGGCCTTTTAAAAAATTATGTATTGAATTTGTATGAAATCTGATTATTCAGGAAAAGTATAATTCATGGGCTTGTCTGCCCCTTGTTTTAGTTTGGGGGTTTAAAAGTCGTGACCTTAGAAGTTGAGAGGTTTAATCATTAGGCAATAGCCATAATAAGTATGCTAGTTAGAAAGAAATTAAATTAAAGAGAAATTAAACTGCGACTTAGGTCCGGGGAGGAGAGAGAAGAAAGGAAAGAGAAGAGCTTTCCTTGCATTTGAAAAAGGGAGCAGAACCAAACAAATATCAATAGCAACAAAAAAGTTGTGTGTTTTTTTGTTGCAAGAGAAATACCCAAAAGGGGAGAAGCCCACAGGGAGGCCTGTCTTGAGGAGCTTGATCACTGCTCCAACGGACCTCTTCTTCTGTGTTGGCTTTCTCTGTGTCAACAGGTTCGTTTTCCTCCCCTTTCTCTCTCCATATGGGTATCATTTCTTGGGTGTGTTCTTTGCTTGGATTTTGAATGTGGGTTATGTTGTTTTCCTTTGGAAAATTTAGGATCTGGGTTGTTCCTCGCTGAAATTTGATGGGTTGTGTTGAATTTTGGTTTGCTTTAAGATTTGATGGCTTGGCTTTTAGGTGATGGGTGTTGGTGGTTTTTCCCTAGTGATTTGTGGTTTCTAGAAGTAGGTTTGAAATGACCAGGGTGGTGATTTCCTGTTTAGAACATTTATGCTAAATTAGAATATTGTGATGCTTGATTTTTGGTGTTAAAATTTGATTGTAATCTGTCTTCTATTTTGAATGTGAGTTTGTTGAGCTGCTAGAAACTACTTGTTCCAATTTAATTCCGAGAAAATTGTTGTCTTTGAGGAGCTAAAATCAAAGTTTTGAGTCCAGTGGCTGAAATTTTTGGTTTTATCACAGATCTGAGCAATCCACGAGGGATTGATGTGAACTCTTAGCTCCGGATTTAAGGTTTTGCTTCTATAGGGGCCGTTTTTCACATTATAGTTTCATGTGCCGAAGTTCTGTGTTGTCGTATTATTCACGGTAAGTGTTACTGTCAAAGTTCAACAACTAACCATGAGAAGTTGCTTGTTTGATTTTGACCCTTAGTGTGTATATGGTGCAGGGTTATTTAAACTAAAATTCAAGGCTTTGACTTTATTTTTTCAACTTTTTCCTTAGGGGAGAACAGAGGGACTGAAAGTAGCTAGAGGTGCCTGAAAACATAGAATCACTATCTGGGATTCTCAACCATTCTGGATTTGCTTGACAGCTAGAAAGTGGCATGGCTGTCGCCAAGAGCAACAGCAGTAGTGGAACACCAAAGCAACCATGCAATTGCTACAAAGTTGCAAGCTTGAGTGAGACCATTTTGGAAACAAGCCAGACTGAGAATTTAAAGGATCGATATGTTCTTGGGGAAGAATTAGGATGGGGTCAATTTGGTGTGATTAGAGTCTGCACAGATAAGTTAACTGGGGAATTGTTGGCGTGCAAATCAATTTCTAAAGACAGATTAGTTACCTCAGATGATGCTAGGAGTGTGAAGCTTGAAATTGAAATAATGACTAGGTTATCAGGACACCCAAATGTTGTAGACCTTAAAGCAGTTTATGAGGATGAAGACTATGTTCATTTGGTAATGGAGCTTTGTGCTGGAGGGGAGCTTTTCCACCGGTTAGAGAAGTATGGGCGTTTCTCAGAGACTGAAGCTAGGATTCTCTTCAGACATCTGATGCAAGTAGTTTTATATTGTCATGAAATTGGGGTAGTTCACAGAGATTTAAAGCCAGAGAATATCCTCTTGGCTACCAAAGCCTCGTTGTCACAAATCAAACTGGCAGACTTTGGCCTTGCAACCTACATCAAACCTGGTTGGTTTGTATATTTCCTTCTTGTCCATCCATAAATTTCACGTTGGTCTTCTGCTTTCTTGAAGGTTTGAGACTTCTAATATTTTTAACAATCTGGGTTTTGTACTTTTGTTCAAACAGGTCAAAGTTTGCTTGGGACTGTTGGCAGTCCATTTTATATAGCTCCAGAGGTTTTGGCTGGGGGGTATAATCAAGCTGCTGATGTGTGGAGTGCAGGGGTCATTCTGTACATACTCCTTAGTGGTACACCACCATTTTGGGGTAAGACTAAGTCACGGATATTTGATGCTGTTAGGGCTGCTGCTCTCCGGTTCCCTTCAAAACCTTGGGACCACATATCTGAATCTGCAAGGAATTTAGTCAGGGGAATGCTCAATACAGATCCTTCTCAGAGGTTCACTGCTCAACAGGTTTTAGGTAAGTTAGATGCTTTCTGTCAGTGCTTTTATTGCAGTCAAGCATCATGACCATATCGGGCCATATGGGTTTTGAAGTAGTGAGGGTAATTGAGTATGGGAATTTTTGAACTGTTCATGCTCTCACTTGGTTGACTTTCTGATTTGAATCAATCAAGTTATTTGTTTGGCTGAGCATACTGTAGAAATCAGACAGGGCATGTGATAGTAAGATCCCAAAGTAGGACATTCTGTCTTGTCAACACCTTTTCTTTTGAGAGTGTGTACTTTTCTTTTTCTGTTTCAAGAATCTTGACTCCTCTCAAGAAACTAAAATGCAGTGGTCAAACTCTGTTTTGTAGATCATTCCTGGATGAAGGATGATAATGGATCTTATAATGAATTGGGTGGACATTTAACTGAAAATCATGGAAATTGGAAATTTGGCTGTGGTTCATTCTCTTTCTCCAGGGATCAGGATATCAGTTTTGGCATGAGTTCACCAGTTATTTCTGGTGTCCAATCACCGGCAGTGACATGTAGAACATCATTTTCCTCTTTCCTGTTGGAACAAGCTACACCTAGCCATGCCTCAGGTGGATTTTGTTTCCAAAGCGTTAATTCTGATGCTGCAGATTTCTCTTCCCCTATACCCTCCATGCCAAGTTTTGCATTTTTCAGTTCAAGTGTGGTAGAACAAGGGATTTGCTCATCAGATTTCTCACCCAATATTCCAAGAATAGGCATAATTCATGGAGGTAACTTGTGTTTAAACGTCTTACCAAAAAAAAAAAAAAAGCCTAAGTTAAAACATTTTTTAATTGCACATGTTTGTATGTTTCCTTTAAATAGGAGGCTGAAGTCATGTCTTTGTTGTGCAGATTCTGATGTGGGCAAGCTTCCTATGTTGTCAGATTCTTCTGCTTGCTGTTGGCCTGAAGCAAGAGCAACAGAGCAAAAGACAGCTGAGGTTAAAGCAATGGGGGCAAATGGGTCGAGGATGTTAGGCTTCCATAGCAAGAGGAACCACACAATTGGTGTTGGTGAACGAGAACAACTTCATTTCATGGTGTCTGAATCAGTTATCCGCTGGGCATCATGCACGAATCTCCCTACTGCCACATCCCTGAGGTCTTCCCTTGTGTGTTGAGCTGAAAATGTGGGGTGAGTTTGATGGTTCTAACTTCTGATGAAGTATTAACACATGCAGAAACTGCCACGTAACAGTTTTATAGCTAATGTGTAATATTAGTCGCGCATTGTGCCTATGTTATTGAGTGTTAAATGGGTGGGTGTCAATGAGTGGTTTTGCCGGGTGTGTTATATGTAACCTTTTTCTCATGCGTTAGGTAGGAAGAGTGACAAATCGTGGCTGCAGGTTTTTCCTGAGTGTATTATGTATTATAAAGGAAT